CAGAGTGTGTGTACTGCAAGTTGTTATAGGGTAGTAAGAAATTGACGCAAGTCCTTTGGGTGGCTGGAAACCTCATGGTGGTCATTATTGTTTTAGCAGCAAGCATCTTCTTCTGTATATCCATGAGTGCTGAACAAATTGCATTTTCAATGTGTGCTCTGAACATATGTATTGATGATTACTTATTTCATTATAATTAGACTACTTAGCAGAGATAAATCCAAATTTGATCTGCAATATCAATTAAGAGTTAGTGCACTAGCCTTCTAATAGCTGGATGTTAGCTATACTTCTTTTTAATTCACATCCTTTTTATGGGCAGTTGTCATTGCCCCTATACCTACAAGGAACAACAGAGAGGCCACAGCAATCTCTAGAGCACTGGTTCATTTTTTTTTCATTTTTAAAAATTATATTATTGTTGTGGTGGGGGTACATTACAACATTTACAAAAGTTCTTACAATATATCATAATTGAATTCACCCCCTCCATCATTCTCCTATATCCTCCTCCAAATTCCTGGAATAGTTTCAACAGGTCGCATTTTTCCATTTTCATACATGAATACATAATATTTCTACTACATTCAGCCTCCTTCACCCCTTCTTTTTATCTTCCTCCCTCCTATTGGTACCATCCCCCAGACAGTACCTGTTTTGCCTATCTATTCTCTGTTTTTGAAAAAAGGTATTTTTGTTTAAGATAGCTTAAGTTTTCCTTGTGACTTTCCCATGTATGTATGTATTATAACTCAAATTGGTTCATAGCCTCTATTTTTCTCCTTTCTACCTTAGTCCCCTTCTTATGGTAATTTCAACAGGTTCAAAAATTCTATATTCATGTTGTATAGAAAGTACACTGGTTTAAATTAATTTTTTTTTAAACAATACTGGGGTTTGAACTCAGGACCTCACACTTATTAGGCAGATGTGCTACCATTTGAGCCATTCCATCAGCCAGAGTGCTGGTTTAGAGGCAGGCAGCCTAAATTCCCATACATGCCTTCCCCCCAGGTGAGTAAGTTATCTACCCCCTCTAGACTGCAGTTCCTTCTCTGTTCAGTGTAAGGCTTGAATGAGCTGGTCTGCAGAAGAACAAGTGCATTATTTGGATAAAGTTTCTGTTTCCATCAATTATCTGACTTGTTGGTTCTTTAATTTTTTGTAGTTTTAAAATTAGAGTTATTAATTTTAATGGAAATACAGGAATTTTAATTTCATATGAAAAATTTATTTTTATTTTAATTGTATATATTTATGGGGTAAGTGTGATGAGTTGATCTGTAAACACAGTATGTAATAATTGAGTCTGTGTAGTTAGCATTTCCATTTCCTTAAGCTTTTAAAAACTTTTGTTTAATATGTAATAATTATATATATATGTATATTTATGAGGTTCAGTGTGATATTTCAATATATGTATATAATGTGTACTGGCCAAATCAGGGTAGTTAATATTCTCATCTCCTGTTTGGAGCCTTTGCACTCCTTTCTTGTATTTATACATAAAATATATAATAGGTTATTGTGAACTAGTCCACTATACTGTATAATACCAGAACTTCTTATTTCTGTCTAATGTGTCTTGGTATTTATTATCCAACCTCTCTCTCTGTCCCATCTCCCACCCTTCCTGGCTTCTAGTAATCGCTAGTATATACAGAGATTGAATTTTTTTTAAGCATGCTCATGTGTAAGAGAACATACAGTATTTGTCATTCTGTGTCTGCCTTGTTTCTTAACGTAATGTCCTCCAGTTCCATCCACTTGTCTGCCACATCTGACAGAGTATTATTCTTTTTATGGCTGAATAATATTCCATTATGTGTATATTCTATATCCATTCATCTGTTGATGGGCATCTAGGTTGATTCCATATCTTAGTTATTATGAATAGTGCAGTAATAAATATGGGTGTTCAGATATCTCTTTGATATATTTCCTTTGAATATATACCCAGATATAGATAGGATAGTTACATCATAACGTAGACGAGACGCCTCCATACTGTTCTATATAATGTCTGTACTAATTCATATTCCCATTTTTGGTTTTTATAAATAAATTCTGTTTGTTATTTTTTCCTTTCATGCTATTTATTATATGTTATAGTCCAAATATTAAAGAGCACACAACAATGGTTCTGAAATGGTACCTGGGTATAATAGAAAATGTCACACTTTCTCTTCTGATAATTAATAGTAACTTTGCAATAATTTAAAGCATTCTACACTTAAGTTAAAAAGGCAGTAGAACACAATGTTTTTAAGAGTAAAACTGTGTAATCCTTTTCCCTCAAAAAGGCTTCATGAAGTCATATGTAAAATAATCTCCAATGAAACAAAATTCATTATTATTCCTTTGAGGGTAGGTAAGATTCTGAACCACATTGGTTTTGCTTACTCCTTTTACCTACAATACAAAAATCATGAGTCTTTAAATTGTCCTCAAAGTCTTTGAGTATATGTTAGAATGGGAAGGATGAAAGGCAAGAGGTGGGCAAAGAAATCATTTGCTTCTTTGTCAAAGACTTCTCAAAAAGACATCTTGATCCACCTATATTTGCTAATGCAAATCGTGAAGCACTTTTACAAGTCTGCAGAGTTGATGTATTTAAACACAAAATAACATGTTTCACACTTGAAAGCATGACAGACTGCAGCTTACAGGTAAGGTGAGATGATTTAACAAGCTGTGTAGTTTTAAATATCTCTGATACTAAGTGCTTTGGCTGCAAAAATAACATGACCTAAAATATAGGGAAGAGTGTCTTATCTAAGCAGTACAACGTGGGGTCATTTTAACAAAACCCAGCTTTGCTTATACTGTATGATACTTGAACATCCATACCTAGCCCTTGTGGTTCCATTTCTATTTTTGGTTCTGAAGTCAGCTTTCAGGGGACCAGCCTAAGGGCTCTGATTATCTTTCACACAATGTGAAGAGAGCAGCTCTGAGGTTTCATGATACAGACATTTTCTCTGTATTGACCACAAACACACCAACCAGAGTCATTCACCAGAAGGGTTTTTAACATGGACAGTGAATTCGAACTCTACATACCATTGCACCCATTCACTTACTCATTCAAAAATTACTCACTACATACATTCGTGGAAATCTGGATATAGCCCTAAAAAGGTAATGGCCTGTCTTCACTAAATTGAATTTTTGAGAGGAAGACTAATAAATGACAAATCGAAAACATTGTTTTACACAGCGGGAAGTGCAGTGAAGAAAATAAAGCAAGGTCAAGTCTTCATAGAGTGGATTTTGTCTGTGGCTATTTTAGATGTGTGGTCAGAGAAGGATTCTCTGCAGGGGTGACATCTGAGCTGAGACCTAAATGACAAGAAACCAGCAAGCAAAACACCAAGCAAAAGGAATAGTTCTTCTAAAGGCAACTGCAAAGGGAATGGCTCATAATGCTGGACAGAACTTGGAGACTTCTAGGCACGGCTTGAAGGCCTCTGTGACCAGCGCATGGAAAGTTGGTCGATGAGGTCCCAGAACGAGATACCGAGTTTTGCTTTTATTCTAAGTACAATTGCTATTCATTGGAGGTTTTCAAGCAGGGGTGGGACATAGGGGATAGCTAAGACAATACAATGTTGTACTTCGATTTTCTTTCTTTGAACCTAACGTCTAACTCTCGCGTTGGTCAAACAACATCCAGTAGGTTCTTGTTTGCCTAGGATGTTTGAGCTCGCCGAGGCTTGTTTGCATCCCACACCCTGCTGTTGACAGCCTCTGAGGAGCGTGTGACAGTTGGCAAGCGCAGAGGCGCTGTCCGAGCCAAGTCGCTGCAGGGGCCAGGGCTGAGCGCAGGGAGCGGAGAGCTGAGCAGTGAAGACGAAGGCCTCCGCTACAAGATTAAAGGTGATGCGCGCTCGGAGAGAGCGAAGAAGACGCGGCCCGGAGAAACCTTCCCCGGGGCCCCAGGTGGTTCCAACCCAGAGGCTTGCAAGAGCTGCGCCGGCATTGGAAACAATGGGGGCTCAGGGCTGGAAGCAATGGCGAGAGTGCTGGGGAGCAGGGACAGCTAAGTGAGCTTCTCCGGCCTACCACCGCGGGGCTTGGCTAAGAGCCAAAGCAGCGGCACCCCGGGGGACAGGAGGTGTTGATTTAGGTCTGGGTCAGGCGGGCCTCTGCTCACATCCTTTGGCTCCTGCGGCCCGGGTCGGTCGATCCCGCGCCGGGTTTTGTGATCCGCTGCAATCCGGATGCCGCGCCCAGAGCCGCTGGCTAGGGTCTGTACCCTAGGCGCGCTCCGGCTCCCCGCCCTTCCTTCGTCTCCCTGCCAGCCACTGATGGGGTCCCCTCTGCTTCCGGCGGGCAGTCTTGCCCCAAAGACCCGCAGCACTTGCTTCCCCGGCCTTCAGAGGAAACCGAAGAGTGCGACCATCGTCCGCAGGTTTCTGCTCGGCCTGCACTTCGGGATGTCATTGGCATCGCCATCAGAACGAGCTACCAATCAGTCTGTCACATCGCCCTGATTTAATGTACAGCGGGCGTTGAGTTCTCGCTCGCGTGGCCCCTGCGTTTATTGTCTGTTTCTGCAATGTCCGCGCCACTGGACAGGACCGTGCTTTCCTGGCGCGGTGCCGACGTCTCGGCGTCTGGGACCCCCGCGGGACGCTGGGGGCGCACACGTTGGCTAGAGGAGTGAGCAGCTGCTCGGCACCGGGGAACTTGGCAGGCGCTACAAGACGGCCGGGGCGGGGCCACCTCCAGCCCCGCCCCCGTCCCCAGCCCCGCCCACTCCTCCCCCAGCCTCGCCCCAAAGCTCTGGAGCTGCCCTGGGCGCTTTCGCCTCTTTCGGTGCTTCTGCAGCAGTCGTGAAAACCCGGAACGGCGGAGCCACCGAGCGGCGGAGCGGTGCCGCCCCTTGCCTCACCTCCCTGACTGCCCTGCGAGGCCGCGCTGGGCATGCTCAGTCGGCAGGGCCGCTTCAGCTCTCGGAGTAGCAGGCTTGCGCGCTCGGGTTGTAAAGAGCCGCGGCGGGGGGAAGATGGAGCCCTTCACCAATGGTGAGTGGGCAGTCCGAGATGTCTGGTTCCGGCGATTCGGTGCCCAGAGGACCGTGGGCAGTAGTGACACGCGGGCGGGCTCGGCCTGCAGCCTCCCCCACCGCGGGCTTCCCGCGAGGACGAGGGGGCTTTGCGGGGCGCCGGGGCGGCAGCTGGAGGTTGGGAGCGGGCAGGGGCCGCGCGGCCGGGGCGGGCGTGAAGGTCAGCGCCGCCGCCAGCCCCGGGTGCGGCCCCGCTGCGCAGCCAGGTGAGCGGACCACAAAGTTTGGGGTGCGTGCACAGAGGAGGGTTGGTGGAAAAGTTGGCAGCTTCGTTTGTCCCCCGAGGGGCGGGTGTCGTCCCCGGCTCGGGCAGGAGGGGTTAATCAGTGGCTGCTGACAAACCCTCCTGTGTGCGCTCGGAGCTGTCCCCCTGTCCTTCAGCGAGTTGCCGGCGTGACTTTCCGTAATAGGGCGGGGTGGGGTGCGGGGCTTGGCAGGGCGATCGGTGGCAGGAAGGGAAACTTACAGAAGGTTGGCTTGCTCCTGCCCGCGGCCGCGGAGGGGACTGTCCGCACTGCCACCTCCCATCTGTCGCCAGGCACTCCGCAGGGCCATCAAGCTTCCTCTCACCCGCTCCTGATCTTATCAGTTTTTCCGTCCGAGACTCACTGAGTATCCAGGGCCAGTCACGGTGATATCACAATGTGACAGGAGGCAAGAGTCAAAGCTGGGGCTTGCACCCAGAAAAAGCCACAGCCCTTTATTGAACGGGGAGAACAAATCCCACCCTAGTTAAAATCATGGCTTTTGTTTGGACCAGAAGTACAGGAATCACAATGTAGGAGTGAGATGTCTTACCATTTTGCTGTGTTGAGTGAATGGGTTCCCCTTTAACATAGAAAGTAGGAAAACTGCCAATAAAGGAAACTACACATTGAAATTAGAGGATTCGTTCTGCAGTTGGCGCGGATGAGATGAGGGTGGTTGATTACTTCAGGTAGGTAGAGTATCGCATTAATAGGAGACAAAGTCTATTCCAGGTTGGGTGGGCCACTTACAGAGACATTACCCACTGTGCCCTAAACCCCAGCCAGACTTTGTGGTATGCTGTGTACTTCATTTACGAGGCTGTGAACTACTCATTATATTCTCCTTGTCCCTAATTCGAATGCTTTATTCTACTGCCATCTTCCTGTCTGTACTGTTTAATTAGGCTTAATGATGACAACTTCAACTCTGAACTTTCTTTCTCATTTGGGTTCTATTTGCAATTATTAAGGCTCTAAGAATAGTCTGGTAAAGTTACTCAGAGAATTAAGGAAGATTTGAACTGACCACCTAATACTTGAAAGAAAAGGTTTAATACAGATCTTAATTCCTTGTGAGTATACCAAGGCTTATTGTTTGTTCTAGACATAATACTGGAGCATCCATGTTCGTAGGATTCTAAATGTGAAATTTCACCTAATTTTTTTTTTTAAATCTCCACAACAAGGCTGAGTCACCCATTTGGTGGAGATGTGTGCTAGTTGATTTGCTGAACCCTCACCCAGACATTCTCAAGTCTTAAAATCAGTCTTTTCTCCCCTCATAGAATAACCTGCTTTAGATATGAATACTTGCAAATTGTCACATTTGGAAGGACAATGGAAAAATCCCAGAGAGGAGAACAACAGCATTAAAAAGAGGGAGGGAGAAAGACAGAGAGAGAGAGAGAGAGAGAGAGAAGAGAGAGAAAGAGAGAGAGAGAGAGAGAGAGAGAAATTGGATTTCTAATCCTTTCTTCCAGATTCAGAGGCAGTGCTGGAGACAGATTGGCAGTACATTGGTTTAGTTAATGTAGTAAGCATCCTCTGAGTCTTATCTAGCATCTTTTAACAAGGAAAATAGAAACTACAACATGTAAAGTCAACAAGACGTTAGATGCTGGCATTGGGTGCGCTTTGCTAGTTTATGGTAGAGTAGGTATTTACTTCAAAACTTTTGAAGGTTTGCTGTAGAATTTTCTAGTGTTTCCACACATAATGTGGTATAATGGAAAGTACACTTGTCCTTTTGCTTAATCTTTTTGCATACAAAAAATATGCACATACAATTCTCTAATAGGTCTAGGTGTTCTGTTGCAATATATTTTATCATCTTAGAATTTATGATTGGAGGATTTGTCAAGCTTGGTATTAGCTTTTGTTACACATACATCCTCTTTTCATAAAGTCTTTCCCAGTCTCACCTTCTTGTATATCCCTGTATATAGAGAGAAGTGTGGGAGCTTACCAAGAACAGTGTCAATTATTCAGGACCACATATCTTTCAGCTATAATCTTGTGAATTGTTTCATTCTCTAAACTATAAATTTGTAAAGGAAGTTGAAGTTAGTTTCTGTCTTGTCATTCTGGCTTTCAGTTTTCATCTATTCCATTGTGGCTTTCTGTAGTTCCCCTATTTTCTGTGAAACATTGCTGCTGGTGTGGTAGGTTTCTCAGACCCTGCTCTCTGCCTGCTGGTAAAGGGTTCATTTGATGACTATTCCGTGCTTATTTGTCCAGTTACTATATTGCTGCAGCCCACTTGAAATGCGTGCCTCCAGAAAGGGCTTATAAGGATGGGCCTTAGTGCCAGGAATTCCTATTTGGCTCAGGAGATATTTTTGGCCTTGTCCTTGGAAGGGACTGCTGGCTATTATGCTGAAAACTGGTCTGGCTTTGGTCTCTGGTGACTATTTGGGGAGAGAGATGTGTTAGACCAGTACTTAGCCTTGATTTGGCTTTAGTGATTGTGTCCTGCTGGACAGGACTAGGAGCAACTTTGAAGAAGTAGTTAGTGACCTGTTGATTTGCCACTACAACAAAATGTTAATGGCAATTTTTTAGATAGAGGTACTACATTAAGTCAAGTGATTATTTGATATCTTTCTAGCTTTGTCCTCATTTGCATGCCAGGATTGGGATATTTTAGAATAACTAAATTCATATTAAGACAAGCTAAAGACAAGAGTCACTCTCAGAATCTAGTTGAGAAGGTCTTAGGTTTTGCCTGGAAATCTGTGACTTCATTTTGAGAATATGAGAAGTGTTCACTAGAATGGAGTTCTGGGAAGTTTATTAGGTAACCAAGTTCAGGATTTGGGAACATGATGGATGAATTACCTACAATTATATAGTATACATTTTGCCTGTGCTTTCTAGTTTGTGGTGTGATTTGAAGTAATTCTAGAGCTGGAAAAGCACTGGTATTTTGAAGTCCCAGAACTAAAAATATAAAGAGTTTTAAAAAATAAAAATATAGTCCACACAAGTCACTTTACTACTGCAACTTGGTGCATATGAAACAAGGGAGACTTTCCTGTCTTACAAAATCGCTTTCATTTTCAGACTGGTATCTGGTTGAAAGAACTTTCCAACTTCTAAAATGGAAAGTCTTCAGCATATTAGATATTTGTGAGTTGTAAAGCAGTTAAAATTATGGTGCCATCTTTATATCTTATAAATAACAGTATCTTTCTGAGAAAACTTTTTAGCATCATCTAAAATGTAAGCTTACCACATTTTGTGTGTGTATGTGTTTCTTTTGTTCAATGATAGATTACTGTATCAAGAGAAAACTCCTATGAAATGGGAGTTTATAGTTTCTCTGTGATTAAATAGAAGCTTAATTCTGTTTTCTATTTTAGTTTGGGGGGGATATAGAAATTAAGGGTTAGCATTGCTAACCAATCAGAACCAATCCAATTTGCATTGCTAACCAATCAGAGACAATCCAGTTTTAACTAGAAATAATGGTAGAAAACTTCTTTCGAGTACTTACTCATTTCCAAAAGAGTGTGTTGAGACAAGATGAAAACCAGACAGCATATTTCAGAAATTGTTATAACTAGTGATTATCATTTATTTGTATGTGATCCTTGGTTTTTGAGAACTCAGTCTGAAAGATTTAGAACCAGAAAGACTGGATAAAGAAGTTATAGAAAATAAGCTAGGAAAATAAACTCAGTAATTCAGTCAAATACCCTCCTTTGAATGTTTACTTAGGAGTAGATTTTATGCTAGTACAGCTACAAAAAATACCACAAACCTGTCATCAGATAATGCTGGCCTAAATAGGAGAAATGAGTTGGAAGAATTGAGTTTTGTTTTCTTGCTAGCATGAAAAAATAGAAATACAGAAGAAATAAAAAACAATACAGCTTTGTCTAAGACAATATTTTAATTATGAAAGAAAGTACAGAATTGTCTCTAATAACCTTTCATATAACATCTATCACCAATAAGTTCCTGTTTATACTGGTTTGCTGTAATATCCCTAATAGGAAGCAGTAGCATTTTTACCCTCTCCATGAAAACATGAGGAAATAGAGAGCTGGAAGAATTTGGGATAGAGCTAGATTAGCCTGTGAATCTTGGAACAGCCATGTTCTGTCAATTAGTTATTATCATGTCTTGAAAACTGTAGAGAGCTAAAATTAAACTAATACTTCACGGCCTTTTTCTAATACCACTGGAGTAAACAGGAAAAACAGACTTTTAAATTTTGTATCCCTAGATAAGTACTCTTTCTGAGTGTTCACAGGAATCCAGGATTGGAAATGGAGGGAAGTTTTGGAGTCCTTATGGTGGCATAGCTCCTTGAATATCTAGTGGACTTGTAGAGAGGGTTGCTCATTGCCCTATTGCTTCTGGGAAGTAAATGTAACATTAAAAGTTCCTGTGTCCTTGGAAGGGCCTTCAGGAGTCCCTTGTTACCTGATCTAATGTTGTAATCCATTTGTGATTGTCCTAGGAGCACCTATAGGACTTCACCTCCTGCAAAGATCTTTAGGGAGAATTGATGCCTAAGAGGAGAATCAGTAAGGAAGTTGAAAGGAATGTGGCGATTTAGGGGTCAAGGAGGAAGGTGCTGGGCAGAGTTTTCAGATGGTAATGCCTTAAACTTTGCAAGCCTTTGACTCAGAAATGAGCTTGTGTTGGGGAGCAAGGACGCTGTTGTATGAGGTTGAAAAGATAGTCCCGGGTGGAAGGTAGTGGGTGGATCTGGTTGGACAAAAAGAATTGAGGAATGTGGGGGATGAATGAGTTAATACTGGCATTTGAAGGCCATGGTAGGAGATAAAAACATTTGCCAGGTATTTAATTATACTATCTTTTCTCCTACATAGTCAGAAGATTCATAGTCACTTATAAGTTAGGACTATTTACTTTCCTGAGTATTTTACAGTTAAAGGAAAAAAAAATGCAAAGATGACCATAGAACCATCTTTCTTTTCCTACCA